TATACGGGGCTATAGTCTCTATCTAACGTACTTATCTTCTATTGAGTGCTTTAGTCGTGTTTCAATATAGGAGATTCTTATAATCGGAGTAGATCTTCACTGAATATTTAGGTTCTTCTAAGTATACTCTTTAGTGTCTCAGTGCTTTCACTATTATGAGTAATTCCTTATCGTGGATGTCGTAGTGAAGCTCTGGTCCTGTTATTTTTCTTGAAAAATAGGCGACTGGCCTGATTTTCCCGTTCTGTTCTTCTTGTTTTCTCGCCGGAATCTCGACGCCCGTCCACCTTCCATCCTAGGTGACCTCGCGCCACTTTTGCTTAGGCCGGCTCGCGTCCGGCTCACCCTACTAACTACACTATGGCGGTGGCTCAAAGGTCGTCCCTCCTCTGGACTGTCAAGTTTTAACGAGGACCTAAAACGAGGCTCTAGGGAGGTTCCCTGGAAGCGGACTACGGTACGTTGCCTCCTCGACTATCAGGGTCCACACCACACAATAGGCACTGATTAGATCGCTGTATGCAGTTCGATTCGCTATCTGTAGTCCCTATAGACAAAGACTTGACGCTTGAGAAGGAAGAAGAAACGGTTCGCACCTGTGTTAGGTGCGGACAGACTCTTATAGCTTCTCCTCTTTTGCTATCACGTGCGTAAGCACAAGGCAGTTTATCCCGACAGCCTTGTGCGCTTAGCCTTGCCTCCTAGCAGCCTTGTCTGCAATGCTTATCCTACCTGACCTATATCTCGCACCTACAACAGGTGCGGAGTGTAGGCTGTTAGGGGCGCTTTCGTGACAATAAGCTATCTAGGGGAAATAAGCGTAGCTATATAGATATAAGGTTTTCCCAAATAGAAAGTCCTAGATAGTATATTAATATAGCAATATAGCGCCTATATTAATATACCGCTATATCGCTATATCGCATACTTCCTTTCTTAGAAGTTACGTATTACTATATAACCTAGCCTTGTTCTTACTTTTGTGTTTTGTCAGGCTGCCTCGCCCGGCAAATCTTCCTCGGGGCATCCCGCCCTTGGTCTTATGAAAGGCCGTTTCTAACACCTAGGATGAGGAATCCTAGCGGCGGCGAGGTCTATTGTAGGGGGCGGAGATAGAATCCGCGATACGCCAGGTAGCGGTCGAGACCTAGGGCCTTTCGCCACAGAGTGCCGCTTCTCCAGCGTCGGGGGGGGCGCATATTGAGATGCCATGTGGCCTGCAGCGAAGAGGGCAATGGGGGCCAGGAAGAGACCTAAGGTGGGCAGGGCAAAGACATGATCTGCTTTGTACCTGTGTATCGCCACGTGCATTAGCATCCTGTTTCGCCCATGCGGATGCAATTTACAAGTGGTGAACGGTGAACGTGCCAATCATGCCATCGGTCGTGATAGTAGGTGCATTGTTCAACCGTCAAATACTCGACGTAGTCAAACACCCTGCTGGAATGCAGCTTCACCGGCTTGCTCAGCCATGCCGCCATGTTGAAGATGGCTGCAGCACAGATTCGGATGATTCCATGGCGAGCAGCTTGCACGGCGGTTCACTCGGTCCATTATATCGTCGCACGAACGCCATGTCTTCCCTCGTGTCTACTTGAAGAGGTAACGGATGTCGTGAACAGGTAGTGAACCAGGGCGACCGTTTTCGCATAGATTGGCCCCTCACCTCGTCGAGTTAAGTTCAGCATTTTCTCCAAGCAGAATGGTGCGCTAGTCATGACACCGTGAGCAAGATGGAAACTTGCTTATCCTCACAGGGTTACAGCGGGCAACAGCCTCGGGACCTGATCGTCGGCCAAGAAGTCGGGTACTCCGAGTGCTTGGGTTGTCCACGTCGATTGGTGCATCATCTTGAGGCTAGACATCGAAGATATGATTGTGATATTGGGTGAGAACCGGTGGTGGCATGTTTACCAGCCCGCGCTTGACCAGGTGTCTATCAATCCGTCCGGTCCAGCGCAGTTGAGATTGGGAAGCAAGATCACAAACACAATCACAAATAAATGCATCTCTGACGTGTCTGTGGAATTCGATTCGCCTCGCTTCGCCTCACGTCGGAAGTGAATTCGTCGTACTTAAGGCTTATGCATACATACAGGAACACAGCAAACCCTTGGCTTATGCATATAGACGCCCCTTGATCGGCGTCGTCACCGGGCCTGCAGAAAAGGCACAGTGTCCGAGACTGTCTTGGTCTGTGCAGGAGAGTAGGAGGGTCGATGAAGACGAGTTGTCGCTGCTGCTGCTGCTGCTGTTGTTGCTGGTGGCAGCATGTCTGCTCCGCTTGGTCGAACTTGGACCATATATGTAGTTTTCCTCAGAAGCATCTACGCTGTGCTGGTGCTGGTGCGTATGCTGGCGTTTGCCTTGGCCATGGGGAAGGGTGCTGGTGTCGGAGAAATCGTCGTCTTTGAGGTGAGTGGCCTTTGACACGGCGGGTTTGTGGATAGGTCGTTTCGACCGCCTGGGTGTGGTAGTGGTGGCGATGGTTGGAGGGAGTCGATTATCCCAGAATGATTCGACTTCTCCCCACATGAGGGGCTCATGAGACGTGATTTTTACTGGGATCTTCTCGGCTTCAGAGGAGGTGGAAGAGGTGGAAGAGGTGGAAGAGGTGGAAGAGGTGGAAGAATCGGCAGGGGGGGAAGCGCTGGTATGGTTGTGAGGATGACACGCCGCCGCGATGGCCAGACTGCAACTCCCGGCAATAGGCATGCCCGTCTTGAGCTTCATGCCCAGCCCAAAGGCCAAGAGCGCCAGGACCAGTAGGCCGCCTAGGACAATGGCCAAAAGAATGGCTATAGGCGAGTATCCACACGTCACGAGGTGTCGAATGTAATTAGGGGCTTGGGTTACTTCGGCACCGGTATAGTCGGTCATGGTGACATTAACGACAAAGAGACTTTGCGAGACAAGCCAGTGCAACGTGAGGCTGAACAGGACCAAGGGAAGGCCGAAGCGGTAGGGTAGTTGGAGGAAGTAGCCCGAGCGTTGGGAGCCCTGGGGGCGGGACGAGGAGACGCGTAGCGATTTGCGGCTGAGGGAGTAGCTTGTCCATTCGTGGGCGAGGAGCATGCACGTAAACAGACCGTTGTAGGTGAAGTAGAGCAACGAGAGGATCAGCTGGGGAGTGTTGGCCAGCACGACGTTGGCAATCAGCGACGAGGTGCCGGACTGGGAGGCCGAGCTGGTGATTAATGTGCGGCCCGAGGGGCTACCAAACCCGATCGACCACAGCGACGAGAAGGTTTTGGAACCGACCATGGCTCGGAGGCCCGTGGAGAGGTAGCCGGCAGCAGTGGCCAGAGCGGCCATGTACAGAAGCAGGCAGACCACCCAACGCCGTGGGCTGACGGCGCGGGACCAGCTGGGGTAGAGGTTGCCTGGGTATTCGACGATCCGTTTGGCCGAGTCGCGGTGCCAGAGGCGGGTGCCGAGTTTCTTGACCCGCGACGCGGGAACCAGGCACATTGCCTGAGACGTGTCGTCAGGCTTGTCCAGGAAGGAAGCCACGGCGTCGCCCATAGTTAGCAATGGAGGGTCGTCCTTGTCGAAGGCGAAGACGACTGTCAGAGCCATGACGGTCAATTTGACCAGGTTGAGAACAATCACGAGAATAGCAATGCTCACGCTGAATTGCAGGCTGCATTTCTCTTCCGAGGGCTCGGCCAGACAATACGACACATCGGCTCCAAATGGCGTCCAGGTCTCGTTGGACAAGGCCTGCCTCAAAACGGCCGGGTCGTCGCACACGCGGTCGCAGACTCCCGTGGCCGTGCCGTTGTCGGAACAGACCCAGTCAAAGGGCTGAGAGCCGCCGCAGGTGAAGTCGGAGTAGAAGCGGGCGTAGACAAAGGGGACGACGTCGGTAGCGTTGTCGTTGTTGAGGTAGTTGACATTGTCCGTCCAGAAGAGGCCGTCTCGGGCCTCGTAGTCGAAGCCCGAGACGTGGTCGGACACGAGGAGCACGTTGCGGTAGAGCGATTGGAAGCCCTTGGTGTAGGTCTTAATGCAGTCCGTGGCTGTCAGGTTGTCGAGGTCGCCGCGACGAGCCGCTTCACGCAGCTGGATGGAAAGGTTGGCAAAGGTGGTGATGGGGATGGACAGGCGGGAGGAGTCAAAGCCGCTACGAAGCATAAATCCCGCGTCGGCGTAGTTGAAGCCGTCGAGGGTGGCCGTGGCCGTGGTCGACTGGAGGAAAGCCTCGTCGACGGAGAAGACGGCATAGTTGTTGGCGGTGGTCGCGGTGAAGATGGCCGAGTTGAAGAACAGGTGCAGGGGCAGCGAAGACACGCCCAGGGAGAGCCACAGGACCAGCCGCTTCCCAGGGATGGAGCGCAGGTTGTGCAGGCTGGGGACGCCCACGTCGAGCCATCGGCCGGCCAGGTGGGCGGCGTTTATGTCGGCGCGCGTGGGTGCCGAGAGGCATTGCATGCAGAAGTTGCTACCGCTCAGGAGGAGGGTGCTGAGCATATTGATGACCAGGTGGCCCCAGATGTCGAGGTCTTGGATGGCGGCGCATTGCTGGGCGTTGGCGCCCTTGCGGAGGATGAGGCCGCCATCGGTCGTTGTCGTCGTCGTCGTCACAGCCCAGACGAGGGCGCTGAAGTTGACAGCTAGGACAGTGAAGCAGAGGCAGGTGAACAAGCTAGCGCTAGCTTTCCAGCCGCGGGGGACGACGACGAGGCTTCTCAGTCCCATCAACAGCCTCGACCCTCTCTGTGTATTGATTTTGACTTTCTCCGTAGCCGATTCTTCGATCCTGCCCCTTAATATAATCACTCGTCCGGCCCCCAAACCGTGCGGTCGAGTCCCGGGGGTCGGTGTTTCACGTCCACGTTGAAACGCCGCAGAGGCCTAGTACGAGGTACTCGGTACACAGCTTCGTGAACTAGGTGAGACACCCACCCAGTCAACAGTAATTTCTTCGAGCGGCTAGCCGCCTCGCGCCACCTCTCCACCAACCAACGTGATATCCCACTTACTGCTCCGGCCGCCCATCAGCCACAAACCCCGGCAGCCCCTTCAACGCGACACTCGCGGAAATGTCTGGTGCTTTGCACCACATCGCCGCTGAACGCAACGGTATCAGTATAGCCCAAGCCTGAGGCCGCGCTGAAGCGGAACATGGAGAAGCCGTCGAGCGTCTCGCTCCAGCGGCGCCGGCGGGCGTACGTGGCGCCCAAAACGGCACACGCGAGCGCCCACAGCGCCAGCAGCGCAAGCACCGGCGGCGCAGGCACGGTGCTGACGTTGCCCGTGAAAGCGGCGGTACGGTCGAGCCCCGTTGGCGGCGGGCGGCTCATTTCCAGTGCGTATTCCTGGTGTGCGCGCAGCATGCTCGTCAGGAATTGCGTCGAGTTGAGCAATTGCAGCTGCTGCCACGTGCTGGTTGCGCTGACATCGACGTTCTCCTCTGCGTCGCAATATATCGGCTGGGGGTGGAAGGCGTCGGCGGGCCTGTAAAGGTTCTGCAGCCACGAGACGATGGAGGCCACGTAGGCCATGGGGTTGAGGTCCATGTTGGAGCCGGCGAGGGTGTCGGCCAGGGCGGCGGAGACTTCGCTGCGGAAGAGGCGCGGGATCGCGATGGCCAGCGGGACGACCGTGCCTGACGGGATGGCGTCGGCTTCTTGGTATGTCAGGTATGCGTACGTGCGCGTGCGGCCGTCGATGGTCGCCGTGCCGGTCTTGGAGGTCGATCGGCACTGGATCCCGATGGCGTCGAGCTGCTTGGGAGTCATGTCGCTTTGGCCCGTCAGCTCGGCCGTGATGGCCGTGTGCTGGAACGTCTTCTGAAACCCCTGCGCCATCGTGCCCAGGCCATTGGATACCAAGTCGTCGAGCGGTGCACACGGCTGGACCATGGCGACGGGTTTCTGCCACAACGCCGCCTCCAGCAGCACGGGTTCCAGGTTGCTGAAAGGCGGGTTGAAGGTCAAGCTCGCGCTCGAGCTGGTTTGAGCCTATTGGACGGCCAGTTCCATCACGCCCACGGGGAAGTAGATGGTGTCCAGCGGGCTAATATTGATCAAGGTGGCATTGGCGATCGGGGACAAGAGATACACGGTCGCGAGCAGCAGCCACGCCGGCGAGGCCACCATGCCGGTCTGGAGCCATCCGGCGGAACCTGACCATGTCTGCGACGACGTCAGCGGACGGAAGCGACGGGGGGTTTCAAGTTGTTGCTGATCTTGACGCAATGCGCCATGAGCTGCATGGCATTGTCACGCTTAACTGCTCATCGCCAAGCAACAGCGTCAACAACAGGGAGAAGAGAAGGAACAACTTGCTCAAATGCGTCCGCCTTGAGCGCGAGGAAGAATCACGCCAAAAGCGGCAGCGATATCAAACCCAGAATACTTCATCTGAAAAGGATCCCTTGGGCACAGATATTGGATTTACAACTTGGTCTCGCAGTGCACACCCGACTGGATATTTAGTCAAGCAAGTTTCCCCCCTCGAAATGCCGCCTAGTGGAGCTACTTTTATTGGTTCCGACACGAGCACGGTTCGACACCAGCGCCTCGCTTACGTCCGGAGGTCGCTCCTTTGAAGTCACGGGAGGATGAGATGGTGGATACCTCTAACACTTCCTTCTATCGAGCCTTGCTGTCTGCGAAGGTTGGCACGGAAAGGCTCAAAAGCCGACATTCTATTAGTGGCACGTCATGACCTTGCATTGTGTACCTAACCTGTCGAGGTACTGTACTGCTCCCTGTCGCCATTCGCATCCATGAGGAATTGTTAAAATTCCGACAGTCTGCCGTTATGCTCATGGTGGTATCTTAGTCTGTTAGAAGTCCACAAACACGCGCATCTCCGTCTTAACTCTCGCCGCTATTCGACGCTCATTCGGATACGGTTAGGGTCAAAGTCGTGTCAACAACAGTTTCTTTATCTTTAGAGCCGAGTGTGGACTCGTTCTGCAGGCCCTCAATCATTTCGATATAGCCCGAGAGTCGCGAACGCCTCTCATAGAGTATGAGAAGTTCTCTCCGCTTCTTTTCTTCAATCGAATTGTGGCCGGTGACTAAGACTATCATTAGAAAAGATTTGATGATACTCGGTGGTACGTTATATAGAAGTTAACTCGTTAGACTTCACTTTATTATACTTACGCCTACAATAGGATCTACTAAGGTTAAAAAGCCGGCGACGACGACAGCGAATTAATACGAAGTAATTCGGTCTAATATCTAGGAGACTCGGCGAGTCACGGGGATTTTTTCTTCCGGGCCCGTGACGAGAAATGGCTGATCGATAGTTTTAAAAAGAAGCCTATTCTTCCGGTCTACGACTTATATTGCGGTGTCTATATACGATCTTAGACGAGACTATTATTAGACACAGCCTTAGAAGAGACCGGTTACGAGCTGTAAAGGCACGGCTCACTACACTCATTGAATAGATAGAAGAATCCACATAAGAATAAGACTAAGTCACGTAATATACTCTATTAGCTCTGTTAGCCCTACTAGCTCTATTAGCACAGAGCGCATAGAGCGCATAGAGTACATAGAGTATAAGTATTATATATACACTCTCATTACCCCTAGATAGTTTACACTCTCTCCGTAGCTAACTTATATTAACTACTAAACTATATTATTCTTAGTGATAAGTAACTTCTTATATCTTACGTAATTTATAGCTAATTTATACTATTTAGAATTATTACTAGAAACTCTAACCTAGTTAGATCTTAGTAGAAATCTTAATACTTTAGCTATTACTCTTATTATAAAGAACGACCTCTATAAGTAATTAAGAAAGACTGAACCGATTTACTTCGTCTATCGACGAACTAATACGGTGTATAATATAACTATTAATTAATAATATAATATCTACTACTATTAATACTCCGAGATTAATATTAAGTATCTTAAGAACGATAATTACTATTATATTAGCACTAGTAACTAAGAAAAAGATTAATAATTTATTTAAGTCTTTTAATGGCGTAGAATCTAAACTTATACTCTTTATTTACTATATAAATTTATATATTTTAATTGTGGAATATCGCCCTCTAAAGATTTATATTAAACCTTTAGTCACGTGATTAAATACGAAGTTTAAGTTCGTATTTAGACCTAGGATCTATGAAATTACGTAACTAATGCGATATTAATTCCGCACTCTATTAAATGATTAGTCGTACTTACTAATGTTGATTTGAAATCAACATTTTAAGGGTCTTAACTGTGGACACTCATTGTCTATATAAAGACCTTTACCCTCCCTAGGTAAATAGTTATCTTTAAGTTCTTTAATAGTCACTTACCTACCTATAAGGTTTACGATCTATATGAGCCTTACTATCTATACATTAGATAGTTCTCTAAGTCCTTCGAACATTAATAAACTTTATTAACTTTTAAAGTAATTTATAACATCGGCAAATTTTCCCGCGCGACTCTGAGAGCCCTGGGCTGCCCTAGGCTGTCAAGGTAAGTCTATGTCTTACGCAGCCCATGAGACCGCTGGGCTCGCTGAGCTACTCTAAGAGGGCCCTAGGCTAATATAATAATTTATAACTTTACGAATATATAATTATACTAGTCGTTTAAACTAGTACTAACCAAGATTACCACATTATACTAAAACCAAAGCAGACATATATAAAATATAAGGTTTCGAACTAAATCTTAAATTATTAGCTTAATAGCGTTAGTATTCACTAAGATAAAGACTTAGCGAGTTATCCGCTTTTAGTATAAACCTTATTTCCGAAATAGGAAAGATCTTTTTAAATTTAATAATATTATATAATAAATATATTATAAAAGTTACTAAAAATAGATAGTTTATAAGAGCTTATAGCTTAGATATAAGAGCTATAAGCGACTATAGACTCCCTAGGCTCCCTGGGTATATAAGAATATTATAAGTCGCGGGAAAAATTGTTAATAAATTCGCTAAATTCGATTAGCTTAATTAATTAAAGACTAAGAATTTCTCTATATAATATATAGAATAAACGGTTATTATTAGTAATTTTTCCCGCGACTCATAGTATTCTTATATACCCAGGGAGTCTAGGGAGCCTACAGTCGCTCATAGCTCTTATATCTAGGCTATAAGCTCTTATAAACTATCTATTTTTAGTAACTTTTATAATATACTTATTATATAATATTATTAAATTTAAAAAGATCTTTCCTATTTCGGAAATAAGGTTTATACTAAAAGCGGATAACTCGCTAAATCTTTATCTTAGTGAATATTAACGTTATTAAGCTAATAATTTAAGATTTAGTTCGAAACCTTATATTTTATATATATCTACTTTAATTTTAGTATAATATAGTAATCTTAGTTAGTACTAGTTTAAACGACTAGTATAATTATATATTCGTAAAGTTATAAATTATTATATTAGCCTAGGGCTCTCTTAGAGTAGCCTATGAGCTCTCTTAGAGTAGCTCAGCGAGCCTAGCGGTCTCATAGGCTGCGTAAGACGCAGACTTATCTTAACAGCCTAGGGTAGCCCAGGGCTCTCAGAGTCGCGCGGGAAAATTTGCCGATATAGTGAGAATAATGAATAGATTATTCTTATAGTTAACGTAAGCGATCGCGAATAAAAAGACGTAATTATATAAGTTAACTCGATTATCGAAATACACTAAGCTATAAGGTACGAGAGCGAAGTATAAATAAAAGTCGAGCTGAAATACGATACCCTTAAAAAAGAAGCTCGGAAATTACTAAAAGTCCTTAAGAAATTTAAAAAATAATTATATACCGTACGCTTTATCGTAGAAACTAACGTAATGACTTTCGCTACGTAGCTTAATCGATAATCGATAAATTTATTAAAAGTAGTAATTAATTAATAGTTAGTCTAAATTTATAAATTTAATTTTAATATATAATATATATTTAGTAAGAAAAATATAGTTACGAATACTTTATCTCGCCGTTCTCCGACCGAGAAAAATCTCGAAGAGACGAAGAGAGAAGAAAAGATTAATAATTAAATTAAGATAAGAATACTAATCGTTCGCGAAAATATTCGTTCGATTAAATAAAATACTACTCGCCGAGACTTCATAATAATATAATTGATAGTAGTATACGCGAGGAATCGATTCGTAAGCTTAGTAATATCGCGCGTAATTTAGCTCTTAGAAGATAAATACTTAAAAGATTCGAAGTAGCTTACGAAGTATCTTTAAAATTAATAGCGTTCTTATAGAATGAGTAATAAGAATTTCCGATAATTATAAAAGAATTTAATGAACTTCTTCGTTCGCGAAGATTATTTATTTAGAAAACTAATAATAAATAAACTAAGTAAACGAATAATTAATAATAATACTAAAAAGAAGAGAATTCTCGAAGTAATATATAATAATATTAAATACTTTAAACGTAAAATTATATATTAGTGAGTATTTAATCGTTATTTTTAAAAGAGTTAGTATCGAAACGTTTAGAAATTCGTTAAGATTTACTTTAAATATTAGTTTCGCGAAAGTAGAAGATTATATAACGAGATATTTCTAATATTAGTCGATATACGCTAAGAGTAAATTAATATCGATTATACTTTAATATTAATATCTTAGAGAAAAAGATACCTTATAAAAGCTTAAAGTAATATAAGCGGCTAGATTAAATCTAAAGATATTATCTTTATTAATAGTATAATAATAACGAAGTTTCTATATAAAGAGATTATTTATCGTTATAGCTTATTTAAAAAATTAGTATATAACGATGAATCTAAGAATAAGAAATAAATAAAAGAATTTATTAAAAAATATAGAATTAAATACGTAATTACTTCGGCTTATTACTCTTAAATAAATAAATAAATAAAGATAGAATATAGAGATATTATAAATACTCTTTTAAA